GACCTGAAAACGAGCTCAAATACATGACAAGTTTATTTTCTCCCCTTGAAGATGAGCATGTAATTTTTATGTCACTATTCTCGTGAATTTCATCTTATGTGCAGACTCTTGTCCATTAAGCAAATGAATTGACCACTGTAACGAGCTTTAGGTCGATTAACCCAAGTCAGATGACCATAGACACCATGTTATGAGAAACCCATTGGGCTTAATTGTTCGAATCAAATAGGTTTCGAACAAAAATATAAGATGAATCAAACAAGTGTGTAAATATTTTTTTTTTAATTTCAAACAATGCGAGGAGACTCATCATGAGTAAGGTCAGTTAGATATAAGTCAATTCATGTTCGAGGTCACACAACAAACATGTGACGGTCATCTCAAATCTCACACACGGATCCAAACTCACTCACAAGATCATAATGTGTGCTGTACATATGATATATGGTGAAGTATATACTCAACACTCCATAGAAAACCGAACCAAGTGATGAAAATAACAGTGTAAGTCTGATAATGACATACTTGATTACACATGCATTGTTGAAGATCATCCTAAACTATTTAGAGCTCAATTTTTTTAAATAAAGAAAAAAATCAATATAAAAAAGAAACAAATACATGAAATAAAACAAAACGCAAATAAATGAGATGCATGTACAAATAAATGGATTGCATATGCATGCACCTAAAGACCAAATCACGAAGAACCACGAATCCTCTTACCTTTAAGAGCATGACCAAACTCACGACCTTCCAAATCACTTTTCTTAACCCAAGCTTGCTTAGAAATAGAAGTGATTTTAGTTAACCGAGTCATCATCTCTGTTAAGTGGCTAACTTGATTGGCGAGGAAGTTAACCGTGCTCAAGACATCTTGATTTTTACTTCGAGTCATGAGTTTACGACACCTAGTTCTAGTATGTTCTAGTGCACCACAATGGTGATGGTGGAAATAAACCTAGAATCAACCATGTTCAGTGGTTGCTGCTGATAAGTAGAACGATTTACCTTACGTTGTCTAGTACGTCTCAATCCTACGTCATTCTTGCCCTTTGGTTCAGGGTAAGCAATTTCTCGAGCTTTGTTAGTAGTTGGAACGAACGTGATCTTAGATGTACTGACAGTAGTATTACCATTATGAACATAATTCAGACCATGCCATTTCCACCAGGCTTGTTCATCCCAAGCAGACTGTCCAGCTTTTGCGAGCCATTCATAAACAGTTGGAGTTGAGCATTAGATTTATCACGATCCGTGGTTAATGATTTAACTTTAATTTCCAAGTTTTCATTTACCAGCTTCAGCTTACTCAATTTTCTAGTCGAGTCCTGAAGGTCACTTAATAATTTTTCACGTTCAAGTTCAAGCTCGTTCATCTTTTTCAAGACAGCTTTGTTGACCTTCCTAATTTTGAGGCTCTCCTCAAACAATTCACGATAAGACTTGTGAATGTCGGTCTCTTCTTCAGACTGTTCACTCTCATTCTCTCGTTCAACCTTCTCAATCTCAGGGTCAGATTCGATTGTAGCAATCAAGGTGAAGGCCATGAATTTTTGATCATCCTCACCACTAGATGTCTTGTTTCGAGAACTAGTCTCTGACTCCTCGTCACTCATGGTCACTGCTAAAACCTTATGACATTCCAAACCCAAACTCCTCTTCAAATTAGGACATTCACTCCTAACGTGCCCATACCCCTTGCACTCATGGCATTGGACATATTGAGAATTCTAGACATATTGAGATTTCTTAACGGGAATATAGAGGCGTTTTTCTCACGCCTACCTCTCGAGAATTTACTAGGGACTTCATTATTTCGCTCCTGAGGCATTCTTCTATTCCTTATCACACTCTTAAATTTTTTAACGAAATAAGCAATTTCGTCGTTCTTAAGGGTCTCAGTATCAGTGGACTTGCTCTCCTATTTTCTAATGGTGTTCATGGCTATGGATTTAACCTTTTTAGGTTGAGGAACGATGAATTCATAATTTTGAAGTGATCCTACGAGTTCTTCAATTTTAACGGCATCTAAGTCCTTGCTTTCTTCTATTGCAGTTACCTTAGGTCTAAACTTCTCGGGCAATGATCCTTTCACCTAATTTAAAGCTAGAGTTAGCTATATCATTAAACTTCGCATCGAATTCATCAAATGATTCATTGTCCTTCATTCTAATTTCTTCAAACTCGTTGCTTTCGTCGAAAAACGGAGGCACAAATAATGACTGACTCATCTAGATGTAATAAAGGGTCATGAATCGAATTAAGACTATGATATCAATTGAAAGTTATGCAATTCGACCCTAACAATACTGAGATGGGGGTGAATATGTATTTTATGTGGAATTTAAAATATTTTACGAATTAAACAGCAACAAATAACTTTTTAATTCTAATCTAGATGATTAAACATGCAAGTCATTTTAACCATAAGTTTGAATACTGCAGTTTATGTGATCAATCAATAAGCAATAATGAAATCAGTAAATCAACACAGAATGATCACGGAGAAAGCTAACTGGGAAAAACTCCTGGTACTTTGCAAGTCAACAATCCACTATAAATGATATGTAACTTATAATCTACTAGCCTAGACAATGACACGTACTATTTGATCTCCTGGTTACAATTCCAACAGTTTTCCTGGATTCTGTGCTCTTGCACCACTCCCAGCTATTGTTTTCAAAGTTTTCCTACAGCAACTCCTAACTTTGTGGAATCGTCTATTTCTCGTGGATCAACGAAGAACACCGCATTATTCACAAACTGGAACTCCAGTCTCAAACTTTCTCGATCTTCAGAACTATGATAAGATGTAGAGGAAAAGCAATTTGGTATTTGGATTATGGGAACGATGCTTTTTTCACCAAAACAATCAAAACAGATAAATGTTGAAAGATGGAATTGAATGAATCTCTCATAGATGTAGCTCTCTCAATATTTAACCTCATCAAATTCGTACAGAAGTGTTTTGGTATATATAGGTAGGTTAGAAAAACCAAATGGGCCAGAGAAAAGCCTTTAAAACGCGAAATAAAAATTTCCCGAATAAAGTTGTTGCTCGAGCGAGGGCTCAGCAACAATCGAGCGACAGACTGTCGCTTGAGCGAAAAGGGGCGACAGTTCAGCGACGATGTTTTTGTTTTTGTAGCTCGAGCAAAACCTTGGCAACAGTGTAGCGAAAATCCGTGTTGTTTTCCTCATTTTGCTATTCTCGAACCCTAGACCTAAAAACCCTATTTTCACCGTATTTGCACATTACTCCTTGACTTTTTAAACATAGTACAATTCAATCATTTTTGTTTACAAAATCGTTAATTACAAAACATTGAAAACCTAACATTATATAATCAAAATAATGACGTTAAAGTAAACAGAAAAAAATGCCAAAATCGCAGTTTAAAGCCAAATCAAACCATTTAAGTTTAGATTTGAGAAAATCTGAAAACTGTTTTAAGGTTTGGTTTAGGATTTTCTCAATTTATTTTAAACGGCTCGATTAAAATATATGTTAAAAAAATTGTTCAAACCGGCTCGCTCCGCTTACATGATAAGTATTCTAAAACTTAAAAAGTTATCACACCAATTAGCACTCTTGAGTATGTTTCGCCACATAGAATCAACTTTCAATGATGAGAACATTGTTTTTGTAAGAACTTACAAAGTTTAATTAAAAAACCATATACTATTAAAAAAAATTTGGTCATATTCTCATGGTGAAGAATTATAATTTGTTATATTTGGTCATTTACTCCTTATGTGGTAGGTGGTTGGGACGGAGACAACAAGCAATAATATCATAGTTTACAAAGCTAAGAATAAGATTTTTTCAAACATTAAAAAGCTAAAGACAATTTTTATCATAAAAACAAAGGAAAAGGACAAAAAACCATATTTACGTTTCTAAAAGTTGCGCAACCATAACTTCAACCTTTTCAGTTTTCACTACAACTAGAATAAACCTTTTCAGGTCGATTGAGGGACTAATGAACACCTACTGTAAATTCGTTAACAATATATTAACATAGTTCCAAATCAAGCTCGACCCAATAATTTACCATGCATGAATTATTATCCAGTTGACTACACCTTACAAGATATTCAATGTTCTCTTCTACCATTTCTAGTGCAACTAGGCGTTTTTCAGAATATATTTCACAGACACACTTTAAATTCGTTAGCAATAAATCAAGCACGACATAATAATTTGCTAAACGCGAATTAATATGGATTCACAAATATTCAGTGTTCTTCACCTTTTCTAGTGCAACTATGGATTTTCTAAAAAGATATTTGGTATAGACTTGGGGTCAATACTTTCCCATAAGGACCATGCTACGTGTACATAAATGTTAACACAATGGTTTGTGCTCATGTAAGTTGACGGATTTTGACGCATTAATCTTGACATCTTTTTCAATCAACTGCCAGATTTTTGACACATAGAAGAATGTCAATCAAGGTATACACTTTGTGTGTACAAATACTTTAATCCTTCCCATTAAACTTATTATGTACTTCAATAATAATATAATGAAAATGTCAATAAAATAAAAAAAAATTGTAAAGACTTCAATAACATGAATTTTATCGTTGGTAGTGAGAATAACTATGTTAAAGAAGACAACGTATGACACCTACAAAGCTTCTCAGATTCAACTTTCAGGAGACTCCAAATTTATTTTCATGTGTGCAATTACCATTACACCCTCAGACATTATGCATTCAATCTCAAGTTTTTCATTTCTTCTTCTATTGTGATTATTCTTTCGTCAGTTCAAACATTTGAATGTCTGTAGCGGTTATAAAATAGAATCTTGCTAAGGTTCTCGTTGGGAACAAGGTTTAGTTTTTGTCTCTTAGGATGTCTTTATAAAGTGTCTTTCACGATGAAATTTGGTTCCAAGAAGTCATTCTAAATACTCAACAGTTCTTTTTCACTCTAGAGACATACATGTAAAGAGAGAAATAATTGTAACTGTAGTAAAAAGTTGCAAAAGATGGCATCCAGTTTGCCATCCATAATTAGCTCTCCAGTTACCACAGAAGAAGGCAGGCTTCGAAAATCATGGTCGAGTAAAGGTTTAACGGGGAAGGCTGGACTACGAAGAACTTATTCTGACAACAATCTATGTTGTCGTGTCAGTCGTATTCAGGCTTCAAAGGTTGAGCCAAAGTTAAAGAGCAGTAGTAGTTCAACTGGCTTCTTCAATATCCAATTATCAAGTACCATGATCCCCGATTCACTAAAGTCATTTTTATTTGATCTAGAGTCGAGTAAAGAGATTAATATCGAGAAGAAATTGGCTGAGAGTGAACATGAAGATGAGATAGATGTTGAGGAGGTCAAGAAACGAGCAAATTGGATTGCAAGACTTATGGAAATCCGGAATAATTGGAAAGAGAGACAACAAAAGGAAGATGTTAATGTTGCTGGGGAAAACAATGAAGATTGTGATGAAGATGGAGGATGTGAAGTTGACTATGATGATGATGATGCAAAAGGAAATGTAATTAATATTGACAGTGAAATATTTACTTCATTGTTGGGACATGTATCCTGGCCGGATGCTAAGCATTTCTCAAAATTGTCCTTCCTATGTAACATGGCCTATGTAATCCCAGATATCAAGGTATGTCTACTGATTACCTCATTTATTTTGCCTCTGAGGGGACACATTTATTTATCTAAACTTAGTCTTTGGCATACGCCGTCTCAAGCAGGCCTGATACTGTATCGAACTACGTCTTTTAAAAGCTTAATCTGTTATATAGAAGACATTTATCTATTTAAATCTAAGCTTCAGAAGAATAACACTGTATAAGGACAGTGTCAAGCCTGAAAATCAAGGTTTAATACATAAAATCACAAACCTTAAAAATCGTAGTTCAATTTCACTGTTTTCTGATTATTCACGTTGTGTTCCGAACATTCATGTCAAGAGTCTATTAGAATCTAATCTAAAGATAGCTCAAGGGCATGATAAGTGACATGAGTACTTTGATAAATCACTTAATTACTTTGCTCTGAAAACCTGCAGACCAGGGATCTAAGCAGATATTATGGCCTAGAATTGGTTACATCTTCGCTAGAGAAAAAGGCAGAAGCAGAAGTTATGAAAGTCAAACCTGAGCAGGATTCCACTAGTGTGCGTGTAGCAATGCCAGCAGTTATGGATTCTATTTCAGCAAAAACGGAGGATTTTGAGCGAAAATGCCAACTTCGGTCATCTGCTGCCTATGAAATTGCTGCATCAGCAGCTTTTTATGTCCAATCCCAAACTAAGGATATTGAAGATGTTCACCAAGAAGAAGAGGAGGAGGAGAGCTCTTCCTCTCGAGTTTACAAGTCAGAATTGGCTGCATCTGTAGCAGCATCAACGATGACAGCAGTAATTGCAGCAGACGAGAAGCAAAAACAGGAGGCTGCAAAGGACCTTCAGTCACTTCATTCCTCACCATGTGAATGGTTTGTTTGTGATGATTCAAGCATATACACTCGCTGTTTTGTTATCCAGGTAACTAAAACATCCAAGATTATATTCCACTAGCATTGGTTCCTACAAATGTGGTAGAAATATGGTGACAAGATGTGATTTTGAAAGAATAGCACTGATAAGTGGTCATAGAAAAGCATATAATTATTTGAGAACTCAATAGATATATAATTTTTAAAAAAAATGGATATTTTGAATAATACTTAATCTTAACCCAACTGCCCTTGAGTGCACGAAAGAACTTTTGACAGCAATATAGCCATTAGCCTATAACTTGACAAGATATCTGTTGGTGACTTGTAGGGTTCAGACTCGGTAGAATCATGGCAAGCAAATCTCTTTTTCGAGCCTACCAAATTTGAAGTAAGTAATTGCTATCGGCTTTTCAAAATATCATTCTCTACATATTTATGCCTCTACAAAGGAATGAAGAAAATTGGGTCATTGAGAAAGTAATTTCCTTTGTAACAGGAAACAGACGTGCTCGTTCATAGAGGAATTTATGAAGCTGCAAAAGGGATATATGAGCAATTCATGCCAGAAATAATGCGACATCTGAACAGATTTGGCGATCGAGCCAAACTTCAATTTACTGGCCATTCTCTAGGGGGCAGTCTTGCTCTTCTAGTCAACTTAATGCTACTAAAAAGGAAGGTAATCAAGCCATCTGCTCTTCTTCCAGTGGTCACTTTCGGATCGCCGTTTGTCTTCTGTGGTGGCCAAAAAATCCTCGATGAGTTGGGGTTGGATGAGAACCATATTCATTGTGTGATGATGCATAGAGATATCGTCCCAAGAGCATTCTCCTGCAACTACCCCAACTACATCGCCCAACTCCTCAATCGTTTGAGCAGAACCTTTCGGGCCCACACTTGTCTAAATAAGAATGTAAGTGTCCTTCTGAAATCTCTAACAATTAGGGATATTAAACACAGTGGTTGATAATAAATCAACAAACACCTCCCCCACACATTACACATCCTACTGTATGTATTTCAGACTTTAGATATTATACTCATGCTTGTAAATGTCGTCACTTATGCAGAAATTATTATACTCTCCCATGGGGAAAATTTTTATCCTCCAGCCTGATGAGAAGTCATCTCCACCTCATCCTTTACTTCCTTCCGGCAGTGCCCTATATTCATTGGATTCTACCAAATGTTCCCTTGCAAAGAGTGCTTTTAGAGCCTTCTTAAATTCTCCCCATCCCCTCGAAACTCTAAGTAACCCCACAGCATATGGTTCTGAGGGTACAATCATTAGGGACCACGATTCGAGCAACTACCTGAAGGCGATGAATGAAGTTATAAGACAACACACAAGGCAGGTCGACAGGAAAGTAAGTAAACAGACAAACCAATTGTGGCCCCTGTTAACATCCCAATCACCACATATGTGGAGCCACAAAAGCAATATTGGAGACATGACGGTGACAGAGGAAATATTTTCTGGTGTCTAAGTTTCTTCTAGACGATCATCCGATGTTCATAAGAATTTTAATGTTTTCATTTTGTACATATATTTACAAAATCTTGCTAGTCATTGTAAAATGGGATAGTTGATAGCTGTAATTAGGGCCGTAAATGGATCGGATATAAATCGGATCTGCCTAAATCCGATTCGATCCGATAAGAAAATGGGAAAAGTTCATGGTTCAGGGATTTATTTTGAGGAAATTAAAAATCAGGTCCAAAGTTTAAAATTGCAAAAATCAGGTTTTTTCATGAATTAATTAATTATATTTTACAATTATTATATTAAATTAAATATTTAACTGTAATATAATATAATTAACCCATCCCACCCCATTTCCACCATCCCAACTGCTCCGGCGACTACTCCGGCGGCCGATGACTACTCAGGCGACTACTTTCCGGCAACACTTAATTCCGGCGACTATTCAGATGACCGTTCGCCGACGCTTAATTTAGATATTCCGAGGTCACAGATAGCGTATTAAGGTTACAGTTAGTTTAATTCAGATAACTGTTCCAATTCCGAGGTCACAGATATCTTATTAATGTCACAGTTCCGAGGTCACAAATATTTTATTATGGTTACAATTAACTTCATTAGTCACTCATCAAAAAAATTATAAGGTCACAGTCAGCTTAATTTAGATAACTGCTCCGATTCCGAGGTCACATATATCTTATTAAGGTCACTGTTAGCTTAATTCCGAGGTCACAGATATCTTAAAAAAAATACAGCTAATTTCATTAGTCACAATAATAATTAGGTCACAGATACCAAAAAGAACTATCGCCGTCGTTGACCCCACCACAACAATAATAAAATATGACCACCACCGCACAGATCCACTACCATCGCCCAAAACATACCGCCACAAATCCACCACAACCACGCATCCCCAGATCTGCGACATTTTTCAAAACCAGACAACCATCCCCGCTGACAACACAGATCTCCACACCACAACCACCACCGAACAAAAAACCCTAACCCGCCACCATCACAGCCCATTTTTAATCCCAAAATCCACCGCTGAGCCAAACACCCACACACCCACCCCAACAAATCGTCGCAGCAGCCCATCAAGTCGCAGCAGCGTCACAGCCCATCAATTCGCAACAGCGTCGACGCCAGCAACAGCATCGACGTTGCTACGCTGCTCACAGTAGCGTCTGTGAGCAGTGTAGACGCTGCTGTGAGCAAGCAGCGTTCGAACGCTGCTCACTGCAGCGTCTGTGAGCAGCGTTCGACGCTGCTATGAATCACAGCAGTGTTCGAACGCTACTCACAGCAGCGTCGACGCTCCGACAGAGTAGGAGGGAGGAGGAGAAGGTAGGGAGAAGGGGAGGAGACGGCGGCGGTGAGAGTAAGAGTGAGAGAGAAAGACGGTTGGGGGTTGTGTGAGAATGAATTGAGAAATTAGGTTTTAAAGGATTAATTATTCAATTAAGATGATAATTTTTTTTTTTTTGANAAATATAGATATTTATTCACTTTAAATTAGTAAACTAAAATTAGAAAAACATTGGTTGAAATCAACTTTTTTTTAAAATTTTCCAATTCTTAAACAAGTTTAAAAATTATAAATTTTTTGAACTTTTTTATGTTTTGAATTTGATTATTTTTTATTCTAAATTTATTTATTTTCTCATTTATTTATTTTAGTGACAAATAATATGCTATAAAAATATTTTATCGACTCCATTATTTATAACAGATCGGATCGAATTGTTATCGGATCGGATTGACCTATATCCATATTTGATCCATTTAGTTAACGGATTATCGAATTCAGATCTTGATCGGATTATCGGACTGAAACCCTAAATCCATCTCCCATTAATTTCGTCGGATTCGGATCAAAATTCAATCCATTGACAGCCCTAGCTGTAATAGTTAAACATTTCACCTAAAAACTTGAACAAGGTTTGACATAATCTATCTTCCTCACAATAAACAACAATCAGAGCATGCAAGTCAAAACATTTCAAGAAGATAGAAAAGCTAAAATCACAGCCTCCACATCATTTACCAACTCTCTAGTTATATTGTACTACAAAACTTGATTAATCTACCCACCGAAAAAGAGACTCTAATAGAATTCTTTTGAATATGAATACGTATTTGCGTAATGGCAGACAAACCCACGAAGGCAAGCCGTGTTCTTTGGTCGGATTGGCTTTGAGATAAGCTTAGGATCAATTGAAACATTTTGCATCAGTTATATATCGCACAGGTTTCTTTGGATCCACATACAGTATGTCAAACACAACGTTCATCTCTCAAAAAATGTGCTAGTGAAAGAGAACTTACATCAAAGAGACTTTCCAAGGTACATTAGATCCATCGCTTTCCTTCATAAGCAATTATTTTGCTTATTTCAAAAGCTATATGGATGTACAATTATTGGCTGCTTTTACAAGTAAAATTTCTTATCCCTTGTATGGTGATGTCAACCAAAGATTGAAATTCATAATTACCTACAAATAAATCTGATATGCATTTTCTACTTCTCTAAATTCTTGTATTTGAGGTTGGTTTCTTCCTTCTTTTCCTTTTTGGAGAGGGTTATTTGCATTTTGGGCCAGGGGCAGCGCAGTTGTCATTTTGGTTGAACTCAAATTTAATCAAGATTCAAAATTTGAATCATAAGCAGTACATGATGCATAAATGGCGAAAATGCAGCAATATGTACACACACTTCATAGCTCTTATGTAAAGACAATAAAATGTGTCGTGCTTGTGAAAAGTCGAAGTCACGTTGAAAATAGAAAAAAAAATTACATCAATATAATCAAATTCAAAGGAATGGAAATTACTTTTCCGGTAAAAGTTTCCCCTTTCTGGACATAATTATCACCCCCCCCCCCCCCCCCATATCCATCTTCTCCTTCCCACCCCCCCCCCCCCCCCCCCCCCAATGCACCTGAGAAATTCTAGAAATGGCTTCGCCGATGTAAAATGATTAAAAAAGCAGTACCTTCAATGCTTAATGCTTGCAGAAATAGTGCTTGCTAATGGTAGTGAGAATCATCATTGTCTTCATTATTCATCTCAGCAGCCCTCTAGCTATCACCCTTCAGTCCCATAGTCAAACCTCACCGTTACACTATTGTGAGTAGAAGCCCTCAAAGGTTCTGAGCTTCACAGGCTTTCTCAATGGCAACTGTTAGCTCCCTCTGGAACCGGGCCACGTAATCAATGTGGCTATTTATTCCTTCATATAATTTTTCATCACCACCACTTTTATTCTTCCATTTCAAAGCTTCCTCGCTTGCTAGAGAACTGCCTCTCTATTTCAGAAGTCAGTCTCAGTTTTCAAAGTGCCTGTCACTATCATTATGATCCTGAATCTTCTTAGGGGATTCACAGTCGAAACGGGGATTCTGATTCCACCGCAGTCTCCGAGGTCATTGAATGCTTGCAGGGTCAATTAGAGAATGTAGCTATTGACAGCCAGTATTGGCTTAATATTGTTATATTACCGATCACTCAATTTTATGACCTTTCCCTTTGCTTTCATCCTCTTCGTTATCTATTCTTCTTACCCTTTGAGGCCTTCCTAAGGAAATTACATACTGGAAAAAATAAGCTTTTCAATGAGTATATTCAAAGTGTAACAATTATTAAGAAAGAAATCTATGTATGGAATTTAAAATAAAGGATCAATATATGATAAATAGCAACAAAATTTATCTATATGAATCCAGCCACACAAATTCACCAAACCAGACAATCATGACTTCTATAAAAGAAAGAGGAATGTAATGCTGAACAAGAATATAAACTCGGTCCCGTAAGTGTTGCATTTTTAATAGTTCGACAAAATTTTTACATAAACAGACTCTGTATTAATTCGCACAAAAACATGATGTATCCGAATATCTATGTGGTACTTTTTATATTCGAATCTAGAAGAGAAATATTACCAATGTTCAGTCTATAGTGTATTTCCCATAATCAGCTAAAGGAAAAGGTTAGTAATACTGTATTTTCTACGTACTGTTAATTTATTTTTTAATTATAGTTTTAAGATCTTCGTTGGAACGATTTTTCAGCAAGTCCGCAACCAAAAAACTAGAAAAACAGGGAATCAAACCATCTAGATGTCTGCAGCGTTTTCCTAAAATTGGATATTTAACTGCATACTACAAGTAAACACCCATTAAAAGCTCCAAACAGGGGCAAACAAAGTATGACTTTTAAACTTCATTCTAAGCCCCAGCTAGCAATATCCGAAAATAAGGAAATATACGATACAATTGGAAAAAGAAAATGTAACTTCTAGAACTCAAATTCAAGGCAAATTGACAGAAACTGCGCTGATGATGCAGTAATTTGCAATTAAAAAGGTTTTAGTTCTAATAACACAATGAAAAAATGAATCTTTTTAATTGCGTATGACACATTAATCAATCATTAATAGCTCCAAACAGGGCCGAAAATTTGTATCTTTTAAACTCAAATTTTAAGCCCTAGGGAAGCGAAATTGGAAGATGACAATGAAATCAGGAGAAATTGTAACTTTTACAGCTCGAATTCAAGGCATATTGAAAGAAACTGAAATGAGGAGGCAATTTTTTGCCATTAAAAAGGGTATATTCCTAACAACGCAGAAAAAAAAAACCTTCTTCGGATTGTTGAGGTTCGTTCTGCCTTAGGGTGCAAGTCAGTGTTCCTCAATGCGTCCAAAAATCTGTATCCACCGGGCAAGATTATGTAATGAAGAGGAGCAGGAGCCAAACAATTTCATCAGTTGGGAAAGAAGGAATTTCATCATGGAGAAGAAGGAAGAGCAGGACTCAACGAACTTACCAGAAAATTGAATGCGAAACGACGCCATTTAAATAAGATGGGATGACGCCGTTTTAATAAGATGGGATAATGCCGTTCCAGCATTTTAAAATTGTAAAAGTGAAAACACGTTTCTCTTTTCTGTTATAATTGTCTGCCGAAGAGCAGAAGGGCATGATTTTTGCTACAGTA